CAAATTGTTCTAGCTTTGATTATATACTAGTTTTTGGCTCGCGTTTTGCGGCGGTAAAGAACTAATTATACTTAAAATGTCATACATTCAATTAATGATTTAGTTCAAATCAAATAATTCAAAAAATAATTCAGATTACGTGCATCCATAAATTTTAATTTGTGTATTATTCATTACAGAAGACTTCCATAGTACTTTTGTTTAATTGATGCATAAGAAATAATTATCCCTACATAAAGTTTATGACATGGTGGTATAAAATCTCCCGTAATGTGTGTTTTAATAATAAAATCATGTTACAAAAAAAAATTAACATTTGGTTAGCTATACATATCGATGAGATTATCAACAATTTAGTTAATAGTAAATAATTTTTTCTAAACTTATATCATTGAAGACTTACATGTTTTTTAATAATCACGGAAGACATATGTAGTGCATTTTGGTAGTTAATAATAAATGAATTTTTGTTCAAACTTATATCACGAAAGAATTACGTAATATTTTTGTTTCTTAAAAATTATGGAATACGTAAGTATTGTATTTTTTTAATTGATGGGAACAAAATAATTATCTCTCCATAAGTTTTACGTAATGTATGTATAATTTACTTAACTGTTATAGAATGGTGTTACGTAAATCTTCCCTAATGTGTGGTCTAATAATTAATCAAGTCACTAAAAGTACCATATTTCATCAAACTATTATATAAAAGTTAACTTGCCCTGTGGAACCATGCTATATAAATAACAAATCAAGTTATGAAAAGTATCACATTTGATGAAACTATTATATAGAAGTTAACATGTCCTATGGAACAGTGCTTAGTAAAACTTTTGTAATATGTGGCAGTATAAAATCAAGTTGTCGGGAGTATCATACTTGATTAAAGTTTTAACTAGAACTATTGTTTAATGAAAATTGATAATATGACTAATATTGTAGATAATATGAATAATATTGTAGTTAATATGTAGTCAATACCATTGCAAAAATAAATCTATACCATTACAGGAAAACTACCAATATAAATAATATATACCATTACAAAAGTCAAACAAATACTAAAACAACCAATACCACTACTATTGCGTAATCAAAATAATATCATTGCATAAATAAATAAGTACCATTATAAAAAACGTAACTATATCATTTCATAAAATAAAACAATCAACCAGTACCAAAAGAAAATAAAACAATACCATTGCATAAATAAATGAGTACCATTGCCAAATAGAACATACAAAACCAAATCAATACTAAAATAAAAATAAAATCAAACAATACCAACATAAAAACCACTACAAGAAATAAATGAATACCAAAATAAAAACGAACCCAATACTGTATCAAAACTGAACCAATCGGAGATGGGTTGGAGAAGAATTGCACCCTAATCCTCCTCTGTCTATGCAAATCAAACAGAATGGCGTAGAGTTGTGTCGAAATCATCTAAGCTGAAGGAACAAGAAGAAGGGGGCTGTCAATTGATCATTTCCTAACTCTCTTCCACTGCATTTAAATAGAGACCTACACAAAGCCCTTCATATAACGTAAAAGAGAAATCACCAATTCACTAATAGATTAGCCATGGTGACACTAGTACTCACTACAAGAAAACATGGCTATTGACGCATAGGTTATTTGCGTCTAAAAGTCATTTATTTGCCTCTGTATATCTTTTGAAGCAGATAGGTTATTTGCATCGGACGCCTCTGTCTCTAATTCCCATTAGAAGCAAATATAGATGCAAATAGTATATGCTTCTAATAGAGGAATCCGAGTCAAATTTTTTGGATTGTAATTCCACTTTTAAGAACTCATCTCTTTTCTTCTTATTTGGTTTTAGAGACAAATGTTTGTGTTCCTAATAGTAGATTTCGATGCAATTACATTTGCTTTCAAAAGACTTTATTGAGACACATATACTTGTTTTAGAAGCAAATAATTTTGTTTCGATTTCAAGTTTATAATTTGAATCTATTTGATTTTGCTTTAAGAGATTAATTTTCTTTCTTGACAGGTGGATTTGGATTTTGTATAGATAAAATAATAATATTAAAATTTATTAATAACTCTTTAGTACATATATATTCTATAAATACATGAATGTATCGGGTATAGAAAAATATATCAATACATCTTCTAAAAAACTACACCATTGGAGTACATAAAGATAAAAAAAAATTATCCCAGAAATAGGCTTTAGTGAGTTGATCCTCTATCACCCACACTGATGACACCGCATACGTTGAAGGATCGTGACCATTACCTCCTCTAAGCCATTGTTGGAGCTACGCCATGTCAATTGTATCAACTATCACTGTAATAAATAAACAATAAGACTACCTGATTTGCAGATGAAAAATGTTCATCAAATAAATGAGGAACCATCAAGCTATTGAATGTCGAACAAGAAGATTTGAAATATTGAGATAATTTACCTTCAGCCAAGCAAAGATTCCAGGAAGCACATAGTTCAACTCAGATCTGCCATTTTTTCCTCAATCCAGATCACAAACACTGAGGTTGAACTTCAATGTATCTCTCTGTTATGAGAAAACTCCACCAGAACCAAACATAACGGATATTGAAGAGCAAGACAAAAAATTAGTGAACAAATTCAGAAATTCAAAAAGGGACTTGCGAAACAGAGAGAGGCGGCGAGGGTCGAGATGCTGGTAACTGGCAGTCGGAGAGACGGAGACTGATAGGCTGAGAGACAGAGAGCCTGAGACAAAGAAAAGCAGCAGAGGTAAGGGAATGACACCGCCAGCAGAGGTAAGGTAGCACAACGTAATGAGCCAATAATGGACAGGTTTCTCTTTGCCGAATTCGAAGCATTCCCAAACCCTAGGATCCTCCTCTAGCTGGACCTTCGTCGCCGACGATTTGGGTAGCAGAGAAAAGCCCAAGACTCGTTGTGGAGTCATCCCTGAGATGAACTGAGTGATATATGCGCTATTTGGCGTTTGGGCTGCCACTGGACACTTTAATCTTTTAGGTTTAACAAAGGATTTTCTAATTTGGGGTTCAAAATTTTCACACCCTAGCGCTAGTTTTAATTTTTTTGGAGCCAAAAATAAATTCTCGTTTAAAAATTGGGATCACACTTTGACATTGGTGGGAAGTGCGGCTAAGAAGGGGGGAAATTCAGTGGGAAGAGTCATTATATTGTACTTATCTCATAAATTATATCAAATCTTATCTAACATATGAGTTATAACATATAATATTACACCAAAATAACATATCGTGTTAGCCCGGTTTGACCCGGAAATATAGAAAGAGTCATTATATTGTACTTATCCTCATAAATTATATCAAATCTTATCTAACATATGAGTTATAACATATAATATTACACCAAAATAACATATCGTACTTAGATCCAACATATAGTGAAAATTCACAAACACTTATATAACATAAATATTCAAATGTTCAACTTAGTATTCCAAAGATTGAGTTAGGCGAAAAGAAAAATTGAAAAATAGGCACATTTCGCAAACTAAAGAAAAAAATGACACAATTTGACCTCCAACCCGATACCTAATAGCGGTCGGCCCGACAGTTGCGTGCGGCCCGTTTTTCTCACCCGGTCAGGGTCAAATTGGGGGAACACATCTCGGTGATGCTGTTATTTTTTATTTCTTTTTAAATTTTTGGTTTCTTTTATTTCTCCCTTATGGCCTAAAGCCTACCCGCCAAAAAGAAACTCCTCCCGCCAAAGTCATCCAAGGAGAAAAGAGGTCTTTTGAATTTTTTTTAATTCAAATATGTTTTTCCCTTCCTCCATTAGTGATTTAGTGCGTTGCACTTAAGGAGTCGTTTGGAGAACAGGATTCAGGGCATGGATTTGTAGAATCCGTAGATTTTGTAGAAAGTCATGTTTTTTTGTTGCTTTTTGTAATGTGGATTTTAGCTTTAGATATTTCAAATCTCTAAAATCTATGGATATCAAATCTCTCATAATCAGAGAGATTCTATATCTTTATTCGTGAGATTTTTTTTCTCCTACTTTTTCTCTTCATTTTATTTTATTATCACATTAAATATATTCATTAACAAAGTTTTAAATATTTCTAGAACCAATCTAATTTATTATTAAATATAAACATGTTATGTAATATAAAATTGTAATTTTTTTTTAATGTTAACAATCATAGTTACCAAACAATAAACATTTTAAAATCCATTTTCAACAATCCAAAAAAGTTTGAATCTTTAGATTGTTGACAATCTATAGATTTAAACTCATATTCTCCAAACGACCCCTAAAATCACACCTAGAAATTGTATTTTATTATTCCAAATTTATTTTGTTTATATTGAATTTATGTAGCAACGATTTTTGTCTCTGATTTTGAAACTTATCTAATACATTTTTAAATAAGACCAAATATTTTAGAGTCAATTAAATCTCTTTCCGCACATGCTATATTTTAATGACTAGCATAATATACAGTAGCAAATATAATAATTGACTCTAAAACTGTTTACTTAATTTATTTCATAAAAAAATATAAAAATATAAATGATATGGGTATAAGTAGCATTTATATTTATCTTTAAAGACTATTAAAATTGTCTTCATATGATATAACTATAAGTGACATTTGTATTTGTCTCTAAAGATTATTAGGTTTCTCTCCATATGACATAATTATAAGAGACACTTGTATTTGTTTCTAAATACTATTAGATTTGTCTCTATAAGATAAATGTATAAAAAGCATTTATATTTGCATCTAAAGACTATTAAATTTGTCTCTATAGGACATAACTATAAGCAACATTTGTAATTGTCTCTAAAGAGTAAAGACTATTAGATTTGCCTATAGAGACAAAAAAAATCACCTACTGAGACAAATAATATATTTGCCCCTAAAGTTTAGCTATAGAGACCACTACAACAATTGCATCTAATTATTTGCTTCTATAGACTGGTTTTCTTGTAGTGACTACTATTGTCCATCTTTCTTCTTCTGCTGACGATGACGACGACGACGATCGTCTTCTCCGAAGAGGAGGATCCATACAGGTGGGGTTGTCGGGACGGGCACGGCGGAGTCGACGAGGAGACGGCGGCCGCGATGATGCAGGCTATCCTTGACAATATGGTCGCTACACTACCATATAGAAGGGAGGGCTGGTGGACGGTGAGCGGCCGGCAGGGAGGGGAAGGGATAGAGAGAAGGGAGGGGAGGACGGCCAATGATGACAAGGGAGTGTCGGTAGGGTTTGCTTACAATATATAGAATAATCAGGTGTGATATATTATTATTTTCAAAAATACCCCTAATTAATTATAATGATTAGATTAAAAATAGTGGAAATAAATGGTACATATGTAGGTTGCCACGGTGACAACCATTTTTTTAGTTGCCACCTTAACTCATCCTGCATCGAACTGAATTAAAAAAGGTTGATATGCTTTGTTAGCCTCCTTGTATTTACACACGCCCACATGGGATTGCAAAACACCAATGAATAGTAATTAAGGCATTGTTATGGTAAAAAACGGAAGTGTCCGCTTTTATCGTATGGAACAGTAATCCACAATTTGGGCTACTTGCGGTATAATAATACAAAAGAATATTGTAGTTAAAATTTCACCATTTCAGAAGCGACCAAAATATTATCATTGATGAGTCTTCATTTGATAAAAGCATATTGTGATTTTTTAATTACCTTAGGTAGTACATCAGTTAATCGATTTGTAAGCAACTGAAAAATCCCTACGCATAATGTATTACAAAATTGTGATTTGTAATGATATGTGATTATCAACGTTTATGAAAAGTTAGTAATATACAAAATTATTTTTCTGGATCGGATCGATGATACGGTTTAACTAACAGAAGACAGGTAGGTGTTTAATTTATTCGAATTCGATCAGCCCTCCTCTAGGTTGCGATGATCGATGGAGTAGGTGCAACCACCACAGCAGCCTTAATTTACTAGCCCTACTAGCTAGCTAGATGTTTGCTGTGGCTATAAGAAGAAAGACGGGCATGGGTTGGGTTGTAGCATCAAGTCAGAGAGAGAGAGAGTGAGAGTGAGAGAGAGCCTTCTTTGCCAATATATATATACATATTTCCTAGCTAGCTTGTTGATATATATATATAATTATAATTCACTAGCTACTGCTCTTGTTTCAGGTGATGGGGACAACGGTAGCCGGTTTGCCGCGGTTTGTGGTTCTCCGATCAAGGAGAGCCAACAGGTACCTGCATTACCTTTGGAACGACCAGTGGGGGCTGGACTACTACCAGTTCATCGGCATGAAGCGGGACCTGGACCCGGTGAGCCCGTTCGTCAAGCTCGAAGTCGTCCCTTCCACCACAAACCCATCTTCCTACGTCCACCTCCGCTGCTCTTACAACAACAAATTCTTCCGTGTTGTGCTAAGGCATGCATGTCCATCAAAACCATAATCTTTGATTTGTTCACATCTATATATTTATTTATTTATTTATATTTACTACGACGTGACGTGACGTGGGAGTGTAATAAAATAAAATAAAATCAAACAAAAAACAGGTTTGGCGTGTGGTGGGTCACTGCCACGGCGGACAACCCCAACGAGGACACCTCCAGAGTCGGCGAGTGCACGCTCTTCGAGCACGTGTTCGTCGGCAACCAGATCAACACCGTGTGGTTCCGTTACGTGCCCAACCAACGCCGTCTCACCTGGTTCAACAACCCCGCCCATCCGTACCTTTATCGTCTGTCATTAGTCTACAGCGCGAATCCCCTCTACGGCGACTTTTACGAGTTCGCGCCATGGGAGTCGTACGAGGACAGGATGAGGGCCAAACACTACCAGATCCAGACCCGTGACATGGAGATACAGAGGTTGACTGCCCAGGTCGCCGCCAGAGACGAGGAGCTCCGCAACCTGCGCCGCCAGCTCGCCCACAAAGACGAGGTCATCCTTGACCTTAAGGGCCGGGTGGCGGCTCTCAAGGCCTACCTGGAGAAAAGGAAGGCCAAACTGGAGTATGGAATGCTGACTCTGCACTCCACCGTCACATCCGCTTGGGAGTCGTTCCAGCTGAACGTCGCCTGTGGAATCGTAAGAATTGCAGCTGGTTTCGAACAGATACTCACACTGCCAGCGACATGATTGGACCAGACCAGACCAAACCAAACCAAACCAAAACAGACAGCTGTCGGATGGATGCTATACTTATAAAAGATGGAACGGAACTCGGTCTCCGCCAACCTCGTCATTTCGTTTTATTTAGTTTTCTCATGTTCGTATTGATCAAGAGGATAGACTTTTATATGTCTACTACAATAAGCTCGCCCGCTTTTGCAATGAGCGATAAGATGATATATTAAAGATTGATAGTTTGAATTTTTACCCCAAAATAAACAAGTTGTCATCTACAATTATATATACTTGACACAACGATGAACTTTAATAAGAAAGTATCATCGAGCAAATGATTTCTATGTTTAATATTCTCTCTGGTTCATATTCTTTTATCTTTTTTTTTTTTAAAGTTCATATTGATTCTCCTTTTTTATGGATTTCGGAATTAATCGCAGGTCTGAAAAAGTACAACTCACTTTTGGGTTCAATTTCATTCTAAAAAAAAGGAGAAATTATCATGGGTTTTGGTTCAATTATCATTCTCAACGAATAGATAAAAAATATAATTTTAAAAAATACTAAAACCGGGTTCAAAGTCGCTTTTACCTGGACGAATTATGTTGGATACCTTGAGTTTGAGTTCAATTGTCATGCTTAACAAAAAGCAAAAAAAGAGATAAGAAAATACTAAAAAATATGAAACTTAGTCCCTATACAAAAGTCAGCAAGATAAAGCAAATTTGGTATGGATTTTCGGTAGCGGTCTTAGGAGAAAGTGGATGGGTACAACTTATGATTCCACCATGAGTGTTTGGAGACGGGTTGTGAATTATTGGGCGAATGTGAGGATTGTGCATAATAGATATGGTATGGATTTCGGTAGCAGTCGTGGCAAACGATGGAATAGTACAACTTATGATTTTGTCGATAATAATTCGAGATGGGTAATTGTTGCAACAAGGAAAACAATGAACAATAGATGAAAACTTAGTAAACAATTATTATGGGAACCTAATGGGCAATAGATGTAGATCCAATCGACAATAGATGAACACATAGGTTATAGAGTAAGAGAGTGAGGTAAGAAGGACTTGAACCTTCCCCACTTGCACTTGGAGGAGTTTGTGAGCAGCGGCGGATCCAGGACATAAGAGAGCACTGGGCCGTATTTGAATAGAATATTAGATACCATAAAAAAAATATCTAATAATATAGTTTTCATTACAATGCTAATTGTACAAGAAGGCCTTTTAATTTAGAAAATTCATCAATGATATAATCTCCATCCATACTGATAATATACTTTTTTCAAAGAAAAGTAATCAACAAGAAATTCATCGCTCATTTTGTTGAACAAATCAATGTTCATGTTCCATTGCTGAAAATATTCTATTCATGGTAGTTGTTGAAACGGCTAGGTCAACACTAGACAAATCAACCGACAAATCAATTTGTATTATGTGTCCATCCATGTTTCCTCCATATTCTCTAATAATTTTGCAAGAGAAGAAACTTCATCCTCCTCACATGAGTAGTGCATTCTCCAAAGAATGCATCTCATAGCCTTCAAAGTCTCAAGGCTAAACTCTTGAGCAAGTTTGTGAATATTTTCTTCATCAAAACACCAGAAAGAACGGTTAGAATCTTGTGCCCCACTCAATTGAGGCAATCTAAACGATGACTCAGCAAGTTTGTAAATATTTTCTTAATCAAAAGAATGGAAAGAAAACCAGCTCGACGGTCTGGCGGAAAAATCCATTTTGGGTTTGCTCATCTCCTCATGCTTGTTTTGTTTGGGGGAAATTGGGAAATTTTTTGAATTTTGCAAGAAAGGGTGTGCTTTAGTTTAGAGTTTTTTATTTTATTTTAATGAAACTTTACACTTTTAGGTTTTCATGTCTTTTTTAAAATAAAATCATTGGGGCTATAGAAAATTTAGTATAAATTTAGAGTAATCTTTTGGATATGGTCATCTGAACCATTTTCTTAGTTACACAAAATCCTATTATCAAATAAAACTAGACAAGATTTTAAATAGCACTGGACCAAATACCTAAATCGAAAAATTTTATAAGCACTAAACTAACTCTGGATACGAAGGAGAGCTGGGCCGGGGCCTGGGTTGGCCCGGCTCTGAATCCGCCACTGTTTGTAAGCCACTAATGAATAGTATTATTGGGCGAATGTGATGATTGTGCATGATAGATATGGCATGCATCATTGGTAGTAGTCATGGCAAACGATGGAAGAGGACAACTTATGATTTCGTCGATAGTTTCGAGATGGATAATTGTTGCAACAGGGAAAATAATGAAAAATAGATGAAAACTTAGGCTAACTCCAATGGAGTCGTTATTTATGCACAAGTCCACATTAATGGCGATAATCGCCATTTGGTACTCCATTTCCGGCGAAGGAAATGCCGATTCCCTGCATTTTTTGGCAATTGGGAGAGGTGTGCCTGTACATGGGCGCTGGGCCGTGCTTGGGCCGGCACGGCACGGGCACGCTTCGGGCCCATTTATTTCGTGGCGTGCTTGGCACGGCCCGTCAGTTTTCGTGTCGTGCCATGCAAGCCCATTTGTCAACTTTGCTAGGCCCGGCCCAGGCCCGGGCACGGTTCGAATCGTGTCGTGCCTATTCGTGCTCGTGCCATGCTCGTATTCGTGTTTAATGAAAAGGACGAAAACAAAAGAGAGAATGAAAAAGAAGGTGAAAATTGGACGAAGGAAGATAGTATTAACCGATAATGTTTGAGAAAAGTAACAAATAGGGGGGGAAAAGAAAATTAAAAGTATAGCAAGTGTGATTTGACTTTGTTTAATTCTTTGTCTATTTTTACTTATGTTAGTAATTACGTATATATCTATGACACTTCTAACAATAACAAATAATTATTTTTCTACTTGTGTTTTGTAATATTTAAACCTATAATTCTTTTTATACTTATTTTCTATCAAATAAATATTATTTTCGTGCCATGTCCGTTCTTATACTCAATAAAGTCTCGAAAATATTAGGCCCGACACGGCCCACTTATATACCGTGCCGTGCCTGTGCTCGTGCCCGTGCCCACGAAGTTTAGGCCCGGCACGGCCCATAAATTATTCGTGCTCGTGCCGGGCTGGCCCATTTATTTCGTGCTCGTGCTCGTGCCGTGCTCTAACCGTGCCGTGCCGTGCTAGCCCGTGGGCGGCACGGCCCGGTGCCCACGTACAGGTGTGCCCGCCACCATCCTTTTTTATAACTTTTTTTTGGTTTAATTACAGGTTAAGGGTTTAATTAGTGCTTTAATGATGAAAATTTAGGGAATCACCTTTAGGTTTTATAAAAAGATTCGGTGTCGAATTTAAAAAAAATTATATCGGAAAATTTGTATTAAAAAATGATGACGAACTATATCAAAATTAACATGGATAAATTAGATTAAGATGACCATAAGTACATTTTTAAGTAAAAAAAACTAGAAAAAATGAAAATCCCCAAATTTGGGGACTAACATTGGACTTGGTCTTAGTAAACAATTATTATGTTAAACCTAATGGGCAGTGGATGTTGATCTAACTGACAATAGATGAACACATAGTTTATAGAGTAAAAAAGTGGGTAAAAGGACTGGAAACTTCCTCACTTGCACTTGGAGGAGTTTGGGAGCCACTAACGAATAGTAACTCTAATGTTAGGATTTTATATATTAAGAAATTAATTTCAGTTTTTTGGGTTGAGTAAGATTTTACCGTGGTGTGAATGAAAATGAGGAGAATAGAGACAAATCAAACTCAATTGTAACATAATACTGGCGAGATGTGAAATTCGAAATGCGTGTTTAAGTTTGAAAGTTCAGAAAGATTATTAAAATAAGTAGAAGGAGATGGGCCCTTTACGTTGTTGTCTTTTACTACACACTCGGTCACTTTTATTTGATTGTTTTGGTACTACTCGGTCGAATTGGTTCTCGTAATCAACTAGAACCGTACAGAACTAATTGGTTTGTGCCTATCCGAACCAATTGCCCTACCCGAGCCAATTTTTTTTTTTTTTTCATTCGCAACTGCCCAACGGCTCGATTGAATTGTCCAATTTCCTACCAAGTTTGCTTCCATTCTTGACCACCAAGTTCAGAACTGGCATAAGCAATGCGTACATCAATACTTCCGTGTTGTCTTGTTAGGAGCAGCGGAGCAGCATGAGTTCTAGTCCCTATGATGTTTCAACCCACACAATCAAGATCAGGCTAGAGCTACAACCCACCAAAAAATATAGGCCGATACCCTACAAAATTGAGAAGCATTGGGGACACCAGTTAGCTAGGGACGAATATCATAACTTGCCTGAAGAAATATGATCTTAAGTGATATAAGGGACAATTGTTTAAAGTTATCTCCGAAAAAATAAAATAACGACTTCTAATTTTTTGTTTAGAAGATTTTAATTGTCCCCATAAAGGACGACATATTGTCTTATGTACGAAAAATAAATTGAATGACACTCGTTTCCTGAAACCAAAGAATCGTCATTCCATTTATTATTCACAGAAATCACAGAACAAGTGTCGTTCCTGGTATTGAGGACGACTTGAATTTTGTTGTCTATTAAAAAATATAGAGGACAAAAGTATAAGGCACCACACTTTAGGGACAACCTAATCGTCTCTAAAAATAAGGGAGACGATTTTGCCTATTCCTATTTTAGGAGATGACTTTTGCCGTCCCCTAACCTTCTCTATTTTGTAGTGCGACCGAATCAACGACGGCATAGTGGTCAGTGGACAAAACCCAAATTTCTCTTCTACCGGCTGTGGGTTCTTACTTATCGAGCTAATGATGGTTTTTATTCCCAAAGTGGAATACCCAGAGAAAGTCTCACAACTATGACTTATCTCCCTCAACAATGTTTGCCTAAAGGCGATCACAAAGGCAGTAACCGACCGCCTCAAGCCTATCATGCGCAAGTTTGTTTCCCCACGTCAAAGCAGCTTCTTCCCTGGTTGAAAAACCACAGATAATATCCTGATTATTTAGAAGGTG